AACGTGTACGCTATGTTTAATTAAATAATATTTAAAATTTTACGGACTACTACCCTGTGCACTAGGACATACCTATTCACTCTCAATTTTTTTTTTGCGATACTTGCAATAACCTAAAATACGATTGGGGTGTTGGACACTAGAAAGATTGCCAATTTTAGGAGAAATTTCTTTCCCATCCGATAAACATGATTTGAACGAGACGCGATTTCTGCAAGAGGATATTCAAACCTGGCTTCACATCGAAAAATGAGCACTGAATTGCTTGGAAAGCAAAAACGTAGTACGCTTGAAATCTCTTCCATAACATAATTGACACAAACTGAAATGAAAATGTCTAGACGTAAACGAAGAAAGTGATGCGAGAAAAAAGTTGTTACCGCTACATTGAAAGGCGAAATTTCTTGTCAAACTGAAAACCAGTAGAAAAAGCGAGCAATTGCGTAAGCATGACTTTGTTGTCTTATTATTATATCCATCAAGTATTCGAGCAACAGTAATTCGTCAAATCTACCTGATTGAATGTTGTTGTTCAAAATTATCAGAATCTCTCTAGAAATCTCTCTCTCAGAATCCAAAAAATATGAGATTTTTGTACACATGGAATTGCGGATTACTATTAGGATTTTTCAATTGAGACGTTTTCATCGCTAGCATTTACTTTTCATTAATTCATTTCTAATTTGATCATGTAATAAGATAGCTTTTAAGTTTCGTTCAAATAAATATATGGCCATGTTCTATCGAAAGACCATCCAAGTATATAATGAGTTTAATGTTTTTAATTTTATATATGGAAGCCTACTAAAAGTATGTTAATCTCCTTAAAATAATGCTCAGTATAAAGATAAATTTTCAACTGTCTTTTTATATCGGTTAATGAGATATACAGTTTGCTTGCATAAATAGAATATTAATTTATAATTCTATTGTCACCTTTTCGGTAGGAAACCCCAAAAAATTTCTAATATAAAATACTCACATACTGTACTTCTATGTTAATCCAGTAAAGTACTATACCTACTGAAAAGGTGATAAACCCACGAGCAATTTTCTTAGATTACTTTTCTATTGGTCATAAAAAAAACTCTGAGGTTACAAACATTTTTTATCCTTCCCTACGAGTCTCTCACAAAAAGTTTGAATGCAGTATTTTTTTCAATTACCTAAATTAAGTTTTGATTGGAATTCTGTCTTTATAATATTTGCTAAGTACAAAGCTAGATGTTTGCAGATTTTTCACACTAATTAATTACTTAGATATTGCGCGTACTTATTTATTGTATTAATTAAGTTGGGGTGAGCTAATTCGCTACATCTAGTGCAGAAAAACTTATTATCCTAATAAAAGAAGTATTGTTTATTTAGTATATTGTTATATATTGTATTTTTTTATATTTATTTTATGTATGATCAGCAAATTTCATTCCTGACCCACCTCAAGCTTATTTTGTTATAATCAGCTCAAAACAATAAGGTACATTTTTGCTTAACTGAACGTATCCCTGGAAACAAACTTGTCATTTTCTGAACAATCATATTTTTAACCGACTTCAAAAAAGGAGGAGATTCTGTTGACGTGATAAATTTTGTCGCCTTTCTGTGACATTATTTTGACCTTAATTTATTCGTAATTTACCCATCAACTAAAGATTTCCCTATTAGTTTACCAATGTTTTTATAATGTAAATCAAAATAGTCTGGTCACCGTAGACAAAAAATTGCGTTTGGTTGCAATAAATTACATTTTACTGATTTTTTGGTATGTTATATTTAAAGCATGTTATATTTTAACTGCTAGATGTTTAAATGTAAAGATAATTTTACTAGAAAAATCCACGCGGACCAGGCAGCAGACGGAACTCGAACCCGCAACGTAAAATTTTCTTTTGATTTAAACATCTAGCAGTTAAATGCTTAAAAAATAAATATATATATATAGAATACATACAATCAGTTGGTTCGATCGTAGATCATAAAATAATGTAGTCGTCAAGTACGTTTATACAATATATTTGAAAGATTTGGCACCCAATCTACTTTCTCTGCAAGTTCCTGTGAAGTAGTAACGATTTCGTGTTACGATAAATTCTCATCGTCACTTGTCCAAATCCATGACTAATTAATTTAATAAATTTGTGAAAATTCAAATATTGATTTATTATGAAATTTAATTTGACAATTGTGCTTTTCGTTGGCAATTCAGATAAAGGTACATGAATTCTAGATTAAAATATTTTTATTGCAATAAACGTCTGCCATAACCTTCAGAATCTTGAGAGAACTCTTTCGCAAGGTGCTTGCGCATTAGCTATCCTAAGCACACCCCAACCCCGTGGAGCCCTGGAATCTTACCCACCGACAAAAACACAACACCATCCAAAGTTAGTATTATTTCACTATGGTGGAATTAGTAGCCGTAATTTCCCCAGACGGGCGCTCCAATTCGAGCCGGAAATGCGCTATCCCGCCTCATTTAAACATTTTCATTTTAGTCAAACCAATTTAGTTAAGTGAATAATAATCATTCAATCCAAATCAGAGTTGATTCTTAGACCGTGGGGATATAAAATCGTCGAGCAATGTTCATTATAAAAATTCAACGAAATATAAATTAAGCACTCAATATTTTCATACCGGTAACGAACTCCAAAGTATTAATTACGATTTAAATAACAGTCGGCCTACATTGGAACTTGACTCACCACATCAAAGAACAAAGTCAAGTACTTATCAAATAAATTGCTGAAATTCGGATTCAGCCAGTTCGTGTTGCTCTATGAAGCTTGTATTGTATAATATTTCCCGGTATCTCCATTTCTCGGTATTTCATAATTTGGTAAACTCAAATTTCAATATTATTTGCCATGAAATACACCGCGGAATTCAAAAAGGTAAAAGGGTTTGTAAAAATACTTATACTACACCTGCTCGATAAATGCTTTATTCTTGTTTTCAAAATGAAGCAGAAAGCTCATTACTGTTGTACTACTAAGCGTGAGAAAAGTGTATGGAAATCCATTTTGAACAAGCTGAGCGGACAGAAAACTCTATGGAAACTAACGTTAACGTGCTGCTTTTTTTAATCCTTTTTTTATTTATGTACCGAAAAGTGGTCAGTATGATTTTACAGACTTTGCAATCTATTTTTTTTAACATTATACTGTTTGCTTTCTGAATTAATATTGAAAAAAGAACAAAAATTAAAAAGGGCGCTGATTATTTTATTCTAACTGAGTTTTTAATTTGTTTTCCTATCTACTCGAGATGGCGTATATTACTGATAATAGAGATTTATTGACACCGCCAGAATTAAAAGAAACTACCTAAGCAGTCATTAGGAACCTTTACCCGTGAAATCAAGAAACCAATATAAAGCTCCCATGCAAAAATTTTGTAACTGTAACAACTTTAGTTTAAATTTCTATTAAAGAATTTGTCCTTTATTTCCTCTCAGGTATAGTATAAAGCACTATGTATCCCTCGAAAGAAGGTAATTGGTAATCGGTCACTTTCTCCTATCGGTGAACAATGTACTATTTCATGTCAAAAACAAATAAGTAGAAAAGTTTGAATACACTCTCGGTTTTTAAGTACATAGTGTTATTAAGCAACCTTAAAAAAATGTCTCTAGACAAAGGAAAAAGTAGTTGCGTTCTTTACTCAAAATCGTTGATTACGTTTATGATCATTGTTTTCTGACGAGTGGTGTTTTTACGAGGAGTCCAAAGTTTGATTGCTACTTTTGAAATAATAATTATAGTAAGAATATATGTTGCTACTTAATCTGCATACATCCAAATACATACTAATTACGAAAACTCGGGAGGATATATATAAAGATTAGAGGCTTAAACTGGTACGTAACCAAATACCATATGGGGGATAGGTATTATCCTCTTAGAAAGGATTTCCTTAATAATTTCCAAGAGTCTTATATCAACATGTAAAGTTTTGTATGGTAAAGATAAGATTAAACATACTTATTAACTTTATTAAATAAATTAAGTTCTACTTAGTACTGAATACTGAACAAAGTTCTAGTGAAATTCTATTGACTTTCACAAAAATAGTTCCGAGAATTTTCACTTTTATGTTCAGTAACATTAATTATATATACACGGGTTATTTTGTTTGCTATTACTTTTTCGACTTATGCAGTATTCAAATGACGGTGTTCTATAAGATTAGGTAATAAAAATAAATTTAATAAGGAACTTTTTATCATAAGAAGGCATAGCGAATTTCCAGGTTGAATTAGAGCGCTTGATTGGGGAAATTATCTCCACCTTACAGAAGACCACAGTGGGTAAAATAATACTAAACACTTAGTGTAATGTTTCGATTGGTGAATTAGGTTCGTGGGTTTCATAGGGTACGGGACAAAGACGGGCAAGATAACTGTAGATATCTTTAGTGGCACTTATTATCTGACACCAATTTATCAATGCAACTGAACTCCAATTACACTTTAATAATAAATAATAAAAAAAACACACACACACACCAACAAGCCTAGGCGAAAAGTAAGCACTGTAGGCTTGTGTTATGGGGACTATCCCTACCCTACTAAGGGTAACGGATAGAATACATATACAGATACTGGCGTTGCCAGTTTTTTTTTTTGCCAATTCGGGATTTAGGAACTTTATGAGTGAAAAAAGCGGGACATATTAAAAAAAACGTATAGTTCTTCATTATGCGCTGGGCAGGTAGCCAGCAACCGCCCGTGCTTTCTCAGTACGCTGCACGCACGGTCTTATTATTCCCGAAAAGCGGAATTGAACCTATCCCGCGCGGGACATTTAATTATGATTTAAAAATCGGGACGTCCGGCTACGCTGACTGATACATAAAAATAATATCTTTAATTGGTCGGTAATTTGCTCCACTACATACAAGTACAAAGAAAAGAAATTGAATTATTAAATTAAAGTTAAATCTTAAAACAGCTTTAATAAAAAAATCATATAAATTCATAAAATACAACGAATACGTACCTTATTTCAAAACAATGGTTTGAAAATGCGATGTTTATCTGAAATTAAAAAGGGATCCATATAATACAATTCAAAAAAAAAACAAATTATTTGATTAATTTAAATACCACATGTAATCTATATAATCATAGTATTGAAAAATTTTCAAAGAATTTGTAACCAAAATCGCATCCAAATAGCAACCACTTATCGTGAGAAGTTCATAATATTTTGTATTTCGCGAAGACATCTTTGAAAGACATAGACCTCACTCAGCGGAATCAGGATTTTGTTTTTAAATAAATACATACCTGCATTTGACTTGAAGAATACAAGTGTAAAGAAAATTTTACTAGAAAAAAATCCATTAGGTCCGGGCATCAGGCAGGATTCGAACCTTCCCTACCTAACCTACCGCTATCGAGGCCATTGATAATTTCGTATTTTCATCTACGAATAATAAAAGCGAGTCACTTTCTAAAACAACTATGATGAACGAGTATTTGATCGATATGTATTAGTTTCTAAAGCCTGCTTGCGAAACAATAATATGTTAGCTTAAACCAAGTATTTACAAAAGAATTGATGTATACCCATATCTTACCAATGTGGTTCATGATGGTCACTTCTTATAAGGTAATAAAGCATTTAAAAAGTTCTAAAGCATTAATGAAATACATCAAATCAATAACGATATCACATTCCTCTTAAAGCCGGTTCAACAAAGTATAAATTCAAGCAACGTATTAATGCGTTGTGTTATTTTTTATTATTTAACTTCCCCTTTGGAATCCTTTTGGAATTAATCGAAATGGAAAGGTTTGCGCTAAAATACTCTTTCACACCAGCAAGCTTCACAAAATTAACATTAATTATGACGTAAATAGCACTAATATTATGGTTATTTTCACAATGTTTTTCGTTTATTAGAAAATACTTTCTTTGTGGAAAACTTAGCAACTGACACGTTTTGTTCATAGGGTTTCGTACCTTAACTCTTCAAAGTCTGTTGATTTCACTATCTGTAGCCCAGTGTTAAATGACCAACAAACGTAAGCTCATTTTCAGTTAAGGAAGTATTGCACCAAGGAGTAACCAATTCGTAAAGCATACGTCTATGTATATGTTATTCAAATAATTGTTCTTGAAAATAATCATTATTACATGGTTCAAGAAACCTATCCATATATTTGGGACTTTGAGCTCAAGATTAAGGTTTTTTCTTAATCTAGTAACAAATCTAAACAACAGTAGGCCCACAGTGTGCGACTCCCGATGTTACGTTCCTTGTTTTTTCCTTCGCTTCCAATCATCATGAAGATGATGCAGTCTTATTACAATTATAATAATTTAGTTGACGAGGAGAGAAATCAAGTGAGGATACAAAGAGGTCAGTAGCAACAAATATTATACTGAACAAAAAAGATAAAGCAAATTTTTGATAATGAAATATCATTGACAATGCAGGTGCTACCAAACGCATACGTGTAGAGATGTGTAAATGTTACATTAAAGTTCTTTGACACATAAGCGTTGTTTTTTAAACAATGACTTTTACACTCATTATAAAATATGACCTAAAATCAAATACATATATATCAAATTTCAATGTATTATTTAAAATTTTCATTTCCACTTACATAAGAATACATAATTATTTACAAGTTTCACTTATACAGTCCAACGAAAAAAATTAAAAAACAATTAAAAATTTGTAAGCTTTATCTATTTTTATTCTAATTTTGATATTCTGTGTGATTGTATCTAGTTTATACTTAAACTTTGTATTTTACTGTGGTTGTATTTTGTAAATTATTTCGAGTAAACAAATGCTGCGACGTTAACTGTAATTGTATTTAGTTAAGTAAAGTATACAATAAAGTAATATGATTTACAAGCGAAAATGTACAGAAGGTTTTAGGTGGCACTGCGCTCAACAAAAGACTGTAGACATTCATTAAACGGGAGTTGAAATTCGCAAGTCCGACAATTCATTAAAACTTTAATTCCAACAGTCGACTTATGGTAGACCACAAAGCGCACAGTGCGTCTGTTTCTCAAAACTTTATCACGTGCTAAATGATAAAAATATTCAAAATTTAATTAAAGGAATTCACTCGAGTAACAAAGTTTTAGACTTTTTCTTAGGTTGTGGGCTTTATTTAACCGAGATTTTTTTCACAATTCGCATGTAGGCTAATTAACTATATTTTTATTTTTTACTAGTGGCCCGCCCTCGCTTCGCTTCGGTGTAGAGCTGTAGTGTAATTTATAGTTTTTGTTCTCAGGCTTGTGCTATAAAGAATGACTTTATTTATATAATTACACGTGTTATTGTGAGTCAACCATAAAAGATAGACATATGCTGTTCCGGGATATTTTTTAGACAATTTTATGTAGAATATTTCCGTCATACATGATTTCTTTGTAACTTTAACCATTAAGGCTGCACACACGACGGAAGCTTAAAAAATGGAGTAACTTCTCCCGTTTTCCCAACATTTCCCTTCACTACTCTGCTCCTTTTGATTGTTGCGTGATGAGAAGTATACTATAACCTGCCCAGGAGTATGAAGAATAATTGTACCAAGTTTCGTTAAAATCCGTTGAGTAGTTTTTGTTTCTATAAGGAACATACACACAGACAGACAGACAGACAAAAATTTTACTGATTGCATTTTTGGCATCAGTATCGATCATTAATCACCCCCTGATAGTTATTTTAAAAATATATTTCATGTACAGAATTGACATCTCTACAGATTTATTATAAGTATAGATGAAATATTTTTTCCAATTTTATTTCGATGATGTAACAATATGAACTATATATATATATATATATATATCTTCTTATTTTTTACAAGTTATTTTGTATTATTCAATTTTTCCTCCTAAAACGGATCACGAAATGCGCACTTTCAGTTTGTTTGGTCTTAATCCGTTTATGATGAGTATGTTGTGTCAACAACGCAATCTCATTTATGGAGGTCCTCACACAACATTAAAAAGAAGAATCACGTAACTAATGACGATCAAACTAGCAGGAAAAACTACTTTTTAAGCTCCAGTTCCGTTCATATCAACAACAACAAACTCTAAATATATAAGGAAAAAAATACAGTTCGTTCAGTTTTCAATATTAACAAGCACTTGTGAAAGCCGAAAAGTTAAGCGCTCTCTTCATCTAAGTAACAGCAATATTTGAAACTCAAGTTTTCCGCTCTGTATTTTATTTTGTACACAGATGTCAAGTTTTCTAAGTAAACAACTTAGTAATAGTGCAGCAGAGACATATTGAAAGAAGTTTTATCCTGTATTGATACTTAGAGATTTTTATGTATTAACTTCATAGTAACTTTGGTAGTCATTATATTATGGGATTTTTTTCCACTCTGTAGAAACTACTCTCTCTACTAAACTCTGCGAGTTGGCACAGTAGTTTCAAGAGGCAGTATTTTAGTTAACAAGAGGCAGTATTTTAATTTAATATTTTTAAGTATTTAAAAGACTTTATCTAACAGAGCTTCAAATAATATTTTTTTAAATAAAGACTATTATTAAATTACGCATTTAATGATTAGCAAAAATGCTAAAATCGTGGATTGGATATAAAAAAATATTTTGTTAATTCAACATTTTGTATAAACAATTTATTTTTACCGCTCCATATTTTTTTATATACATACAAGAATAAAAATATAAAGCAACATGATGTTCAAATATAATGTCTGGCTGACTTGAAAAAATGTAAGGGTTATAAAATATAGGTGTTAATTGAAATATTCTTGATATTACCATTGAAAACTAATCGCACAAGTCATATCCAGAAGGTTGATGATGTTCATTCTATTAATGAAGCTCTATAGCAAGAAAGAACAATACCTTCGGACGGCCGCAAGCAACGCCAAAAAAATACCGAAGCCAATTGCTTTAATGCCGTCAAGGTTAATTGACAGATTGGTTCGTAATACCTTTGTTTTGATAGCACCAATCACACAGATAGAGAAATCTCAGTTACTATTATATGATACAAATACAGTTCAACATGCAAGTGAGTATGGTTGTTTATATTTAATCTTTCAGATTGGTGAACCATGTAATGAGCCATTACTCCTCTAACAGTACTCAAACACAAGCCCAAAGAGTTCCGTTTACTACAGTTTCGAACAACTCTAAACTGTTGTACATACAATCATATTGTTTGTTCTTTTATGGTTTAACTTTGGCAGATGGCTCGTAACTTATAAAACATTTTTTTTGCTTCCTAACTTGGGCTAACTTTTGTACTTTATGTAAAAAGTTAATTTATAATTAACCTGCTGGAAAGGAAACCAATAAATTACCAGATGCCTCTTCCTGAAATTAATGTTTGCGAGATGTTTTATAATTTTCACAAGGAAGGACTTACTTGGAATTATTATTGTTTATTTGATATTAATATCTTTACTTTAAAAAATACTTACTAAATATCAAATGAACATTTATCACTCACGTGATCTAATTATTAATAAAATCGTTTATGTCACTTCCTTAAAATATCTTTTGTTATGAAATTATTATAACGACAGATTAATAAAATCATAATTAGATGGTGGATCTTTATAAAGGAAAACAGGAAAAATAAGATAATTGCTTTCAAAAGACTATTCTCTATCACTTTTTCCTTCCTTTAAGTGGCCATGAATTAATACTGTCCTCACTAAGATATTTAAACTTGTCAGATAATAACTTTCAACTTGACCTTAGAATTCTTAGCGATCGTTTCATTGTTTATAAACTTTTAAAAAACCCAATAATAAATGCCATTAGTTTAACATATAGATAACATTAAAACTGGTTTTACTAAAAATAAATAAAAATACTTATAAAATCATTTTATTATTCGTAATATAAAATATGCTAGATGCTAGACACGTAAACAAGGAAAGATTTTCCCATTATTACTATTATAAGTATAAGTTACGACATCTATTTCTAAACCATTTAACTAAATATATTCCTGATGAATGGTTTTTCCATTTACTGTAACGTCTCCAATCTCTGTCGAATTGATGAA